TTGTGCCATTTGCTGTAGAGACTATCTGTCCGTGGGGTCCACGTGCGGTGAAGTTTCTAAAGGAACTCCTTTTTTGTCGCTCATAGGCTAAGTACATCCATTCAGCGGAGAAACGCAGCCAGCTTTCTTACCGTGGAGAGTAGGACTGTATGATAATTAAGTTACTAGTTTTATTTTTTTTATTATAGTTTTTAATATTGTTTATAATAAAATATTGTATATTAATTTAAAAGAATTCTAAATTATAAACATTACGTGCTTCTTAAGCAAAGAATAAAAAGTATTTTTTTTAAATTACTACTTCTACAACAGTCCATCACATGTCCATTCCTGAACATAGGCCTGCTAATACATTGCCACAATGTACGGTTCTCAGTCACCTACCTGCGTCCAAAGACTTCCTACGTGTCTCATTATGTCGTATCCCACGTCTAGTGAGGGGTCGCCCAACACTGCGTTTGCCAGTACGACGATGCCACTCGGGAACCTTCCCCATCGGTTGTCGTTTCTTCGAGATATATGTATATAATATCTAAAATATAAAAAATAATTTCTGTTATTTCGTATTTTATGCGTTTTCATACTGTTCATCAGATTGCAGTAAAACTTTGTCAACATACTGCATGCACTTTTGCGAAGGTTATACGCATATTACAATTAACTTATTTATTTTAAAGTTATAATAACATTCAACTTCAATTAATGTTTTATCATTCACAATTAAGCAATATAATCCTTCCAAATTTAAAACGATATTTCCGCCATTATTTCTTCTGCCGCTGCAACGCGCCGCTAGAATATGTATAAAATCTTATTGATTTACATTTAATTCCTCCCTCATTCTGTATTTGACTAAAATTTTACTAGGTATGTTATAAGCATGCACTATAAAAGTACAATCATACAATAATAGTGTCTATACACATAAATAAAATTGAAGTGTCTCTCTGTCTGTCTGTCTGTCAGCGCTAATATTCGGAGTGGCTGAACAGATTATAAATTGAAACTTCAAGAACAGAGAGAGCAGTGTTAGGAGTGATATAGGCTATATGTTATACTAAAACTTAGATATTAAAAAAAACATGCGTGCGTGTCGTGGAACACTCGGTTGGAACGAAGTTCCTTATTATTGATAAACGTATTATATTATTGATTAACAAATACAAATAAATGTATTACTAGAGTCTATTAAAATGAAGCGTCATTTAAAATAAAATACAATATGACACAAGGGGTAGTGACGAAAAAATCTTACACTTTTTGTCGCCTAGCTCCATAATCTGTGCCTAGCTCCCACCCGCCAAACCCGTACCGTCCGATAAGGAACTTCGTTCCAAAACGAAAAATTTATATAATGAATGGTTTTTGATTATCTTAAATCTAAATACGACATATTCCGCTAGTCTTCAATGAAGAATTATTTGTGTTGGACAAACATTAGTACCGGCGTCGATTGGAACTTTTAGAAGTCGTGCCTTTGACTAAAAATTAAGTTAGTGTCATAATAATTATTTGTGTTGGATAAACATTAGTACCTGTTTTGATTGGAACTTATAGAAGCCGTGCCTTTGACTACAAATTAATTTAGTGTCATAATAATTATTTGTGTTCGATAAACATTAGTATCTGTGTTGATTGGAACTTATAGAAGCCATGCCTTTGACTACAAATTAAGTTAGTGTCATAATAATTATTTGTGTTGGATAAACATTTAGTACCTGTGCCGATTGGAACTTATAGAAACCGTGCCTTTGACTACAAATTAAGTTAGTGTCATAATAATTATTTGTGTTGGATAAACATTAGTACCTGTGTCGATTGGAACTTACAGAAACCATACTTTTGACTACAAATTAAGTTAATATAATAATAATTATTTGTGTTGGATAAACACTAGTACCCGTGTCGATTGGAACTTACAGAAACCATACTTTTGACTACAAATTAAGTTAGTGCCATAATGATTATTTGTGTTGGATAAACATTAGTACCTGTGCCGATTGGAACTTATAGAAGCCGTGCCTTTGACTACATAATAAGGTAGTGTCATAAAATACATCAATAAGCATACATTTACAAAAGGGAAAATAAATCCTTTAAGAATTTTCTTATTTATTCTTAACGGTCATTAATAACAAGTACCAGGCAAGCAGAACTCGACCGGAGTAAACTTCGTATCTTGCTTCCGCTAACTACTGAAAGATGGTAATGAAGCACACTTACCTTCATAGTGATATCTCTTTCACGCAGACCCAAAGTTCATAAGTTCGTCCTTATCACTATCGCTGTCATGCCCACAACGGCCGATCTAGACGGTGACAAGAAATTAATTAGGGGAAGCTGCAGAAAATAATGGTTCGCCGTGATTTTTAAATGAAATTTATTTTCTTCACTTCATTTATTTCTCAGCGACATGACACTTCGGAAATTATTAGACTTTACAGCGGCTTTCTTCCGTAGGTAAGGTTTCAACTTGTTTACCTTTAACGCGATATATTTTTTGCGTTGATAATTTTTTTTTGTATATTTGATTTGTTAAATTGAAAAGGTATTTGTTTTCGCCAAGTGTCATTTTCTATTTTTCTTGGATTCAAATAAACACGCTTTAATTTTTTCTGTTATATCTAAGCTTGTTCAATTAAGGGTCTGTCTATTATTATTTTTCAACCGATTTCAAATAAAGGAAGTTCTTAATTTGAGAACTTCACTTAAATTTCAAAACATTTTTCTAGGTGAATCGATTTGGATGATTCTTTTTTTATTTGAAAGCTGCTGCTTTTTATGTGGTCCTATATAAATTTGATCAAAATCTAACTAGTACTTTTTGAGATATCCTTAATAATGCGTATTTAATTGACTTCGACTAAATTGATTATGTTCTCATTTAATTTATATTGAAGTCGGTTGTAAAAAAAAAACATTTTATCACTTGTTGTCAGATTGCTATGGCTAGCGATGGTTGGGATTTCTGTGTACGGTACTCTGTCGAAGTCGCTTGTACAAAATTTTTAATTTTACCACTTGTTTAAAATAACTTCCTTTATTATAATAGTGTGTGGTGCTGTAAAAAAAGGTGAATATAACAAATTTCAACTTGATACCTCTTCCCGTGAGGGAAAAGCTCTTGACAGACGGACAGACATAAACGAAACAAAACGTATCCTTATACGATCCCTTTTACGTTTTAAATTTTAAGTTACGGAACCCTCGTAATAGCTAATTTTGAAGTCATTATTAACATAAATTGACTAGTTGTATTGTCAAATTGTTTGTAACATAAGATAACGAAAAGGGCAAAGTAGATAAATATCACAAAACTGGAAAAGTGGAAGCTCATTAATATTGATGGGTCAGTATAAAACAAAGCAACGCGGGTATGGTTATCGATATATTTTCCTCACATGCTATTTTAGTTATTAATACGTAAAATTTAGAATACTAAATTCCATGAGTTTGAATAAAAGGCTTGGATATATTTCTTCTATCGGATGTTTGATGACAAACATGAAATGATTTATACGATAATACAATAATAGTTACGTAATTCGCTTTTGTCACGAAATGCCTTTTTATTATGTTTTCTGATTTCATTCCATACGTAGTTATCGAGTCACTACTTTATATTTTTTCATAAGGTATTTTAAATATAATTACAGTGTAAATGAAAAATATTATAATAAACTTACGTTAAATTTAAATAAATAATAAAATGAATATTTGTAACAATATACAATATCTGCAATTCCCCTGGTGTTGCGGTTGTTCATGGGCGGCGGTAGTCACTTACCATCAGGTGAGCCGCATGCTCGTTTGCCCCCTCTCCTATAAAAAAAAAATATACAATAATTTTCTAATCAAATTATTAAAAATAATAAATGTGAAAAAAAAAGAAAAATAATACCTCGTACAAAAAAAAACGTCGGACAAATTTAAGAGGCATTCTTCTCTATATCAACATATTGCAAAAATTATCAAGGTCTTTCTTACCGTGTAATGTTAATTTTAATACAAGTCGTTTGGAGCACTTTACTACCATCAACTAATAATTAAATGTTGACGGTAGCCTCCTTTAACAATGACATCAGGACGACTAACATCTATTAAGAGCGATAAAATCCGTAAAATTAGTTTTATTCCATATTTAATTTATTTTTAGGACATTTACCAATCAAAAATTTTATAAGATGAAGGAACGTAATAAATCTTACTCTGGAAGGAAGAAGAAATCCATGTTTTATATAGTGAAGGAGAGATTGCAAACATATTTACGTTTGTTTCTTGAAACCTCGTCTATACATGGACTGAATCATATTATAGCGTCAAGAAGACATCCCTGTGAAGTGTATGTACAGTGAACTATTGTTATAAACAATATTATGTATTTTTTTTATAGAATAACGGTGACAAACGAGCACACAATCCACCTCATGATAAGTGGATGCTGTCGCCCATAGACATCTACATCTATCCTCGATTAAGAATCAAAATGCAGATGCGTTGCCATCCCTGAGAACTAAAACGGAATGCCACGTTTCCAGTAAAAACAGTTTCCGATTTTATACACTCACCATACCAAACACAGCAGCATTAAGCTGCTATTTTACGCTGGTATTCTGTGAGAACGTGGTCCTTCCCCGGTCGACCTATTCGTGTTTAAACTAAAAAGAAAGAGGTTCTCATTTCGACTGTATTTTTTTAAAGTGTGTTACCTCGGAAATTTTTTCTATGTGAACCGATTTTGATGATTCTTTTTTATTTGAAAGCTGGGGCTTCTCATGTGGCCCCATATACATATTATATGTATATACGTATTATATATATATATACCATATTGATCATTTTTTGAGGTATACTTAATAATGGGTATTCGATTGACTTGAACTACATTGATGATGTTCTCATTTCATTTATATTGAAGTCGGTTGTAAAAAAAAATCATTTTATCGCTTGTTGTCAGATTGCTATGGCTAGCGATGGTTGGGATTTCTGTGTACGGTACTATGTCTCTCTCTCAAGCTACTTGGATACGGTATCAGTATTCACCAACTGTAGTATCTATGGAAAGAGACATGTTCGCCTGGAACACTTCTTTTCCGTGCATAACTATATGTCCCGACAAGAAGTTGGATAGAGCGAAATTAATTGATTATCTCAAGTAAGTCATTTATTATCTACATAGATATTGATACATATATTCTGTAGTTGTAGGCAGAAGTTATAGATTTCCACTGACCAGGAACATGCCATACCCTTACATATTATTTAACTTCTTTTGCTTATGTTATTTATTAATCTCTTCTCTAACCATCAATACTCGCCCATATACATAAATCTTCATCTTCACACTACTTTACTTACATCATACATTTCACATTAATTGATTTTATTTTTAATATTCTACTAAGCCAGCGCTTATCTACGTTCCCACCTGATGGTAAGTGGTGATGTATTTTCTATTCCCTACGGACGTAAGCGGCCTCGTCCCCCAAACGAAAAATGATAATGTCTCCCAGTTCATTGTTATTTTGGGTTTGTAAATGTGTTATTATTATTATTATTGGCATTATTATTCAAAGAAAGAAAGACCGAAAGAACATATTTATTTATAGCTGCAACTTGCAGATCATAAATTATAGAAATAAAAAATGCGTGTGTGTATTTAAGTACGCACGTAGGAAGTTATAATTCTTTATTGTAACAAACCAAAAAGACTTGAGAGACATTTACGTATTGAAGTTGTCGCGTTTAGGTGTCGGTGTGCGCGCACATCGTAACAACTTCATGGTGTCGTTTTTAGGTGTCGGTGTGCGCGCGCATCGTAAAAATGCACTCTCATCATTTTTCCCAAACGCCCCAAAAGAAGTATAGCTTCAAAATACTTCAATAAATATTTAAAAAAAAATGGATGAACTTAGCGTAATACTAAAGTAACACAGTTACTGCACTCAGTAGTGTCAAAATTTATTCCTGACAAAATTTATTACCTAGTTTATAACTTATAATAATATGAACTTAATCAAAATTAACATTAAATCTAATTATTGACTTTCCGCTCACAAACCCACCTGCTCAGCGTAGTGAACATGCACAAGTCATTAGCAAAATAAAAATTTATTTTTATATGACGATATTTTATATTTTTTTTAAGTAAAGAAATATTATAGTATTATCATAATTTATTTGTATAATAATTATCATCATCATCAGCATCATTATCATCACCACAGCCATTCGCAAGTCAACTGCTGAACAAGGCCTCTCACAAGGAACGCCACAAAGCACTGTCCTGAGCCACTTGTATTCATCGACTTCCTGCATATCTTACCAGATCGTCACTTCATATAGAGGGAGGTTGCCACTCGAAAAACCTTCTTCCCTATGGGTTGTCGGTTCTTCGAGCTATGTGGCCGGTCTATTGCCAACCAATCCGTAATATGACTAAATTAATGACATTTCTAATGTAATGTGATCAACATAATGTAAGCAAGAAAATGTTCCCACGGGTGTATATAGGTGAACTCGCACCAACAGACGTGTAAAATTTAACATACGCGGCACTCCCCACTCTGCATATGAACTGTATGTGTGAACATTATATGTTCCCTCTTTTCTGACAATATACCTTAACCTTTAAGTACCGACTTGCGGTCTGAGAGGCCACGGCCGGCAATTGACTTGCTAGTTTTTTTTTTTACTTATTATAAGCCAGTGCTTGACCACGATCTCACCTGGTGGTAAGTGGTGATGCAGCCTAAGATGGTAAATTGCACTGTCTTAGCGTAACAAAAGCCTATTCACTCTTGCCTTGAAGACGTCCAGATTGTATTCGGACGGAAAGATGGACGCCGGCAAATTATTCCACTCCTTTGCTGTACGCATTACAAAAGACGAAGCAAACCTTTTGGTTCTAATGCGTAAAATATCGACAACAAATGGGTGAAGACCCGTCGACCGCCTGGTAGTCCGATGGTAGAAAGCAGAGGGAGGAATTAAAGCGTGTAATTTCTGCACACACTTAACGAAATGCATCCTATAGAATACCGAGAGATTGGCTACTCTGCACCTGTGCTCGAGGCTGACAAGACTGGTTTCAACCAAATCAAGGTCACCAATGAGCCTCTTAGCACATCTCTCCACTGAGTCCAATGCTGCCAAGTGGCATTTAGCAGCACCAGCGCATATGTGACAGCAGTACTCCATGCACGACTGGACTTGCGCTTTATATAAGGTAAGAAGCTGCCCTGGCGTGAAGAATCGCTGAACCCTTGCAAGGACACCAAGTTTCCTTGCCGCTGGTTTGGATCTGGACTCAATGAACCGCCCATAGCTTAGGTTCGGAGAAAATTCAATCCCCAACAACTGAAGGTGGTCAGTGTACTCCAAGGATACATTTCGGAAAGTAGGAGCCAGGGTGAGCGGGCTCCTTTCAGCGGTAAAAAGACACGCTTGTGTTTTGGAGCCGTTAAATATCACGAGATTGGCATCGCCCCATTCGGAGACTGCTTGTAGTGTGAGACGCACACGCTCAACCATAGCCTCTCTTTCTGACTGGATTTGATCCCGACTGGCCCGGGCACTTGGCACAATTGTGCTGTCGTCTGCATACCCATAGATACCGGGAATGAGCAGATCATTTATATGCAGCAGGAAGAGAGTTGCTGAAAGAGCGGACCCCTGAGGAACACCGGTGTTAGTCGCTACAGTACCGGATGAGCAGCCATCGACGACGACCCGGAGATCGTTCACCCAAAAAGTCCTTCACCCAGGCAATCAGGTGAGGGGATAAGCCGTACACTGAAAGCTTGCCCAATAGACTAGCGTGCCAAACCCTGTCAAAGGTCTTCGAAACATCGAGGGAAACAGCAAGTGCTTCTCCACTGTTCTCGAAGGCTTAGCCCCATATGTGAGTGGCATACGCTAGAATGTCCCCAGTTGATTGATTTCAGCAAAACCCGTACTGGCGATCACTGAGTTGCAAGCAAAATGAGAAGCAAATAAGTCCGCCTTCTCCTTAGGTGCATGCGCCAGTGAGCCATTTGGTTTTACCAGCGGAAGCAGTGTAGACCGACAGAAGTTTGTCTCGACCGCTTTGGCGAGAGACCAAAAAGCTCAACTACCAGATGGTTTTACAGAAAGCTTTTTGCCGATGCGTTTAATGCGGTCGAAACTGACTTGGCGTAATACCTTTTTGCAGGACTTGGCAGCTTGGTTAAAGGATCTCTTCTTAAGACTAACATCCGGAGCTTTACGGTCTCGAGCATCAACCCAGAATAAGTACGCCATATGTTTGTGCTTTTCAGCACGAGCGCACTTGGCTTTACCACCTATGGGCACGTCAGCAAAGGGGATGAAATACTCCATCGCTTGACGTATCACATTGGTTATGGCATCCGCGCAGCTCGACGGGTCTTCGGAGGAGAAGTAGACCTGCCACCAAGGATAAGATGCAAAGAAATGCCGCATCTCATCCCGATCTGCTGACTTGAATCGCCACATTCGTCGCACTCCGTGGAAAACGTAGTTAGGTGGGGAATATAGCGACACAGATTTCACCAGACAGTGGTCAGAAGTTCCCAAGGGTGAGGTAGCCTGACCATCGTACCTGTCTGGATCGGTCGTCAGCAGAAGGTCGAGGCAATTGGCTGTGTGCTGTAGTTTACCCCTTTCCCCCGCAATACTTATTCTCGCTTTTAAGTAGCTGCAAGAATAGTGCCCACGTTGACGTCGTCGCATGTGCGTTTGGTGGGTAATTACGATTTAAAATTCCGGCGCGGAACTGTCAACTCTTTGGTGTCGATGTTTTTAATCACACTGGAGAGCGGCCGAAAATTAGTGCATTGTTGGCTAATAAACTCATCATACCTTGATGGTACTCCAGTTTCCGCAGTTTTCTGTTGTTGAAGTAGGTTCTCCATGGTTTGAGAACGATGTTGTAAACAGTTGCTTTGAGATACGTGTGACTATAATTCTTACCGCAGTATGCACCTCAATCAAGCTGGTGAGACCTGCTTGTGGGAGGCCAGCGACCAAAGTGCCACTACAGATCGAATCACAATTACATTTATTTTTTATTTTATTTTTACACACTTTCTGTTGAACTACTGTGGAAGTAATTTGTAGGTCGTAGTTCACGTCGAAAGCCCGAAGGACCAAAATGTAGTTGTTAAAAGTGGTTTGTGAATTGTGACCCTCTACATATAATTGATGTGTAGGATGTCGATGTAGGTTATATCTACGTTACGGGATGGGGTAATTAAAACTGTGTCCGATTCCGTAGAGAGCGTTTATTGCACTAACAATACTTATGAATAAAATGTAATATATATATATATATATATATATATATATGTTTACGAATGTAATTGCACTGAACGTGTCACGCGCGCAGGCGCAATATCAACATATTTCCTAAACTATAGAAATACCATGTACTTGCTCGTACAAGTGGTTTGTTTTTTTTTTGTTAATATAAACTGTAATTTTTAAATATATTATGAACTATGACTATACTAGGGACTTCAAGTAGTATAAGAGATACTCGTAGTTATGCAATGGATTTATGGCAATCAAAGAGAGAGAGAGAGAGAGAGAGATAAGTTTGGCAAGAGTACTTGGTCCTAATAATCCTTCTAAAGATGAAGCTGAGGAAGTCAAGAGAAGACAGACTTGTCTCTCATGTCAACCTAAACTGAAAAGATAATCGACATATAGATGCTATTGGTGCAAAAAAAATATTTGCTTACAGTGCGCGAATCACGTGTGCCCTGACTATGCTTAGATTTGAAGGTGTAATTGGACTGTGGTCATTTTTTTTTTCTAAAAGTTAGATTAGTTATTCTGAGAGCAGTATTCTTTGTGTTTTGATTTATTATATATAATAGTCAGATCCTTCCCCAAAATTCAAACCAAATATTATTGTAGTCTTATATTTAAAAATTTAATTAAGGTGATTTCCTTTTTATACTTATTTTTTCTTAAAACCCTTTAATTTTCATCTTAATGCAAAGACAGATATTTAAAACATTACTTTCTTTAAAAAAAAACACTACATAATATACACGGCCTCACAAGCCTCACGTTACAAACAATGCACGCCGATACTTAAAGGTTAAACCGTCTTACGTGAAACATTTTTTCCTTTTTAACGTCTAAAAACCCACATTATTAGAAAATATTAATTTTACTCTCATTATTTTATTACATTATATTTATTCTACCTTCGTACTGAAACTTTTACTTGAAGGGAGGCCGTTTGTTTTAAATTTGCATGTGGAAATGAAATAATACTTTATATTGTACACCAATTTTGGATCACAGCGCCACTGAATTTCTTCCTTTGTAAAACACCTTATAACATGTTAATCACAAAAAATTTATTTTTGATTTATATTTCGGCATTAAAACTATTTTATATTTCTTATTATTACAGGAATTCAGAAGAACCAGACAAAGTAAAACTAGAAGAATTCCTTACGACGCTAGCTAATGCCACGTTTGAGACCTTTGAGTCGGTACCTGATTACAACGGAATACCAGCCAGCAATTACATGGACTTAATTTTAAGTCTTTCACCTGATTTCAAGCCAAGCGTGATTATTGGTGCAACGGGTCTTACTTTCGATATAGTACCCACTATCACTGAAATGGGTTTATGCTTCGCTATGAACTCCAAGATTGCTGTATACAATTCACCGTGGTAAGCATTTTCAACCGCCTTCAAAAAAACAGGGAAGTTCTCAATTTGTCTCTATTGTTTTATGCGTGTTACCTCAGAATTTTTTTCTAGGTGAAACGATGACTGATAATTCTTTTTTTATTTAAAATCTGGTGCTTCTCACGTGGTCCCATATAAATTTGATCAAGATATGACCAGTGGTTTTTCAGTTATCTTTAATAATGCGTATTTAATTGACTTCGACTACATTGTTGATGTTATCATTGGAAGTAAAGACAGAAATGAGTTGGGGAGTGACTCGAACTTTAGGGCTAGTCAGTTTAAATAGCATAGCGGTCATGGTTGAATAGGGGCAATAACTTCTCATTACATTCCTAGGGGGTCAAAATGGCCAAAATGCAGAAAATTGGGGGGGTGGCTCGAACTTTAGTCATAGTCAGTTTGAATAGCCTATTGGATAGAGGATATCATGTAGGTTATGGTTGAATAGGAGCAAAATGTTCTCATTACACTCATAGGGGGTCAAAATGGTCATAAACCAAAAAATTTGGGGGTGGCTTGACCTTTACGAATAGTCAGTTTGAATAGCCTATCATATAGAGGATGTCATGGGGGTCATGATTAAATAGGGATAAAAAGTTCTCATTACACTCCCAGGGGGTCAAAATGCCCAAAAACCTCCGCCTCCTTCGGAGGTTCTTACACAGTCTTTACCTCCCGCATCCCACTTGTTTTATGTATATTGAAGTCGATTGTACAAAATTTTTAATTTTACCATGTGTACATTTTGAATTTAAGTGATTATTTTGACCATTTCAACATGTAAATCTGATGATTTATTATTTTTTTTATTTATTTGCTTTTTAAGGGAAACATACAGTATACAATAATAAATTACATAATAAAACATCCTAAAAACCAATGAAGTTTCCACATAATAAAAGCTCGCCACCAACATATTATGTTGTATAAAAATTAAAAAATATAAAAGAATAAAACTAACTAAATGGTGTCCATAAATTAAACATTAAGTACTAAGCAGTTAAAAGTACCTATATATACAACATAAAGTGATACTACCAATTATTTATTAAGTTTTACAATATTTTCTTTGTAACTATTATATTCAAGGTGAAATATATTTAATTTACAATAATTTAAGTTTTTTATAGGGAAAGGGGCAAACGTGGACACAGCTCACCTGATGGTGAGTGGCTACCACCACAAATGAACAACTGCAACACCAGGGGAATTGCAGGTGCGTTGCCGGCCTTTTTGAAAGGCGTAAGCTTTTTTCTTGAAGGTCTCTAAGTCGTAGCGTTCCAGAAAAATTGCCGGTGGAAAAACCATTCCACAGAGAGGTCGTACGGGGAAGAAAACTCCCAGTGAAACATACAGTGGAGGAACGCCAAGCATCCAGATTGTGTGGATAGTATCGGGAATTTAGCCGCGATGTGCGTTCGTGACATTTTGGCGGCCGGGATTAATTCGTGGAGATGCGAAAAGAAATGCAAAGGGATGCAATATCTCTTCGCAGCGTCTGAGAATATAGCCGACCGGAAAGTACTCGGTCGTCGATGGTTCAAGCCACTCTGCGCTGTATGCGGTCAAGTGGAAGGAGCTGGCACTGGGGAGCCCAGCCCAGACATGAGAACTCAAGAATTTCGCTACTGTCAAAGGCAACAAGGGGAGTTCCTTGAAACGACAAAGGGATTCTTTTTAGCGGTACACGCGCAAACTTGTGTCTTCTGAGGATTAAACTGGACTAGACTTAGTCGCCCCCAATCCGAGACTTTGTTCAGCAGACTCGACTTCAGACATAAGTTTGTTCCGGTAATCGGCGACGTTTTCCCGGGAAATATTGGCAGAGCCGGTGTATAGATCATCACCAGTGCTGTCATCCGCATTACAATAAATGTTACCGGTTTGCAACATATAATTAATATGCAAAAGAAAAAGCGTTGTAGATGTTAAACTATGCTAAAATTATCAATATCAAACTGTGCATTATCTTTATATATAAAAATTACGTGTCACGTTCTTTGTCCTCAATGGACTCCTAAACTACTAAACTGATTTCAATGAAATTTTGCACACTGTGTGCATTTTGGTCCAATTTGAGTGTTTAGGCCCAAAAAAGGTAATTTGTACGACAGACATCTAATCACGTTCGACTTCGTGAATCGCCCGATGGTATCAGGTGTCACGCGCATCGTGGGAAGGGGGCAGCGGTAGGCAGCTTCCCAGCGTGTGACGCTCGTGGGCGTGAGTATAGTGGCTCGACGGCGGCTGGGCAGTTAACTGGTGTCTTTCGATGCCCGTCGCTGAGGTTTCGCGAGACCGTTTTTTTTGGATTAAGGTCTAGAATTTTGGATATTTTGCGCGTGACTTCGCTACGTAATTGCGTTTCGTGAAAACCGCCTCGTTTTAGGTTGTCTAGGGTGTAAGTTCTTGACAAGAGGCTTGTATTGTGTTTAACTGATTAAAGTAACTTCTTTGAAAGTAATTGTGCCGTCGCGTTAAGTGCCCTTTTTTCGTGTGTTGACTGTTTTGTTAGTTTTACGTGTCAACGAGGCGTATTATGAATTCTTATCGCGGCGTAGTATTGGATATCGAACGAAGGAATTTAGTTGTGTTTGTAGCGCTGAACCGTGAGACTTACCAAGAGATCGCGTTAGTTCACTATTCGTCATTTGGTGATAAATGAATCCGGTACATTGAATGTTGTACTTTGAACTACTGTCCGTTACTGTGTCGGGTGTTACGTGTTAGATTCTACGATGAATGTGGAACTAGGCAGTTTTAAGTTAAATGTACAATGAAGTTAATAGACTGAAATAGTGACATGAAGAAAGAAATGGTCCAGCGGGGAAGCCTACTGGAGTGATGCAGCATTGTGGGGCAGCCTGGAAATCGGCCGCTGCCGGTCACCTCAACTGGTCCAGGTCTCAGACACATACACATCACTAAACACTACTTTCCATGCACCTTACACCCGCCTACGGCCTGACCAAGCCTTGGGGCGGCCTTAGATTTGGATACAGGTACGTATTATTATTTCTAGCCTTCTCCCTTCAGTTTAATATGATAGGACATTCTTCCATATGGCCATTGGGCCCGACCCGCGTCTGCCCTCGAGGAAGCTGCTATGGGCCCCAGCCAAGACGATCTTTGCAGGGGCAGCTGCGGGCCGTAACATTGAGATATAACATAGTTTTTATCCCGATAAATGACCCTCCAAATTTTTTATTGCGAATTTAAAGATTTTCATAGGAAGGGTCGTTGTAAAGGGCAGAACGTCTGCCTGGCTAGTTATTTAATATGACACAGGTTTGATATTAATAATAATTAATATCAAAATGGACTACTATACATACGCTTTATATTTATTTCCATAAGATTTTCCAATTTGTACCTCGGGTAGGAGAGATATGAAGTATAAGTCAGAGAGGACACCTGCGTCTCGGTCAAATAGAGCAAGGCCATTTTCTCCATCTCTTGATGATAGTGGACGGTGTTCAGGTTCGAGTGAAGTCCCTTGATGTTGCAGAAATTCACGGATAGCGTGGCACGGCTCGCCTTGGTCTTGTAGCTCAGCTTGCCCCGAGCAGTTGTTGTCTTGAGCGAGCGTCGTGGATGCTCAGCGAGGGATTCTCTAGGGAGGTGCTGTTACTCTCCTGGGGGGTAGTCTTACATTTAATTCCGCTCACACCGTTCCACAGCATCGCTACGCATCCTCGCACCGCCCAGCTACCAAGTGGAAACGTAGCCTTAGATTTTCATTTTTAGTCTAGTCGTGTTACATTTAGTAACATGAGTAGCAAGCGTACTGTTGCCGGACCAAACAAAATTGCCATTTATGAATCTCTTTCAGCATCTGTTGTCAGTTCAACTTCTTTTATTACATATATGTTTACCATATTACTAGGTAAAGGTTAGAAAGATATTTAATTTATTGTCTTAATATTGTTGTTAGTAACTTAAGATCTTCGCAAATGAAATCAAATCAATTACATTCATTAAAGAACATAGATTGCAAAAGACTTTATTAATAAATTAATGCATATTTCCGCATTTCATAAATTATCTAGATATGCTGTTTTGTAATGTCAGTAACGAGCTAGCAACAGTCCATCTGAGGGTTAGCTGGAACACTGGACCTCATGGTCATCTGCAATTAACATCAATTTACGTGGTAGAGCCATGCTGCAGCTATATTAATAGTATAGTTGTAGCACGAATGGGTCGGCTCGACCGGGGAAGGACCACGCTCTCACAGAATAACAGCGTAAAATAGCAGCTTAATGCTGCTGTGTTTCGTATGGTGAGTGTAGAGAACCAGAGACCCTTTTTACAGGAAAAGAGGAATTCCATCTTAGTCATCACGGGTGACAACGCATCTGCATTTTGATTCGCAAACGAGGATAGATGACGATGTCTATGGGCCACAACAACAACTTACCATCAGGTGGACTGTGTGCTCGTTTGTCACCCTTATTCTACAAAAAGAAATTATTAACTTCAAACAAAGAAAATCACAGATGATTCAACTCTGAGGAAATGTCTCACAATCTTTAATTACAACGTCGTTCTCAAGAGAGTTATCTAATTATATTATTACCCACACAATGTCAGACGACGCTTTGCTTTGAGTTTCGAGTTCGATAGCACGGCTGAAAATTATTTAAATATCGAATAAAACTAATTTTACAGATTTTATCGCTTATAATTTAATACATTTTATTATATTTAATTTCAGATGTTTGATTAAAAATGAGAAAAATTAAAGCGAAAAAACCAGTAAGATTAGTATTAGTCAAAGTAATTGTGTAAATATAAGAAATCATTACATTATTTAAATATTTTATAAATTCTTTCACAGGTATGTAAGTAGCATAATATTTCATAACACAATGTATATTAATAAAACTTAAAGTTAATAATACATTTTCAAGTGGCTTTTTTCACATAGAATTTTAGGATAGGACCGTCTATGTTGAAAGCAATTGTCCACAGAATGCTCTT